AAAGGCTGAGAGAGTTGGGGGTGTTCAGCCTAGAGAAGATAAGGCTCCAGGAAGACCTTATAGCAGCCTTTCAATACCTAAAGGGGGCCTACAAGAAAGCTGGAGAGGGACTTTTTACAAGGGCATTTAGTGATAGGACAAGAGGTAATGGCTTTAAACTGAAAGAGGGTAGATTTAGATTAGATATGAGGATGAAATTCTTTACTGTGAGAGTGGTGAGGCAGGAACAGGTTGCCCAGAGAGGTTGTGGATGCCCCCTCCCTGGAAGTGTTCAAGACCAGGCTGGATGGGGCTTTGAGCAACCTGGTCTAGTGGAAGGTGTCCCTGCCCATGGCAGGGGGGTTGGATCTAGATGATCTTTAAGGTCCCTTCCAACTCAAACTACTCTATGATTTTATGTTTTTTAAAAAGACAAATCCTTCTAAGACTATTGCAGTTCTTTGAGAGATCCACAAACATGTCAACAAGAGTAACCTGTCAGATACACTCAGATTTCCAAAACGCTTTCAGCAAAATCCTTCACCTAAAGCTTTGAAGGAAGCTAAGCAGCCAGAAGGAAAGTCCTTGCATGGATGATGAGCAGGTGGCCCAAAGACAAAAACAAAGGTAGGAGTAAAATCTCCATCCACTGCAAAAACTAACATTAGTAGCAGAATTCCGTAAGGAAACTGAACTGCTCAACACATCTATAAGTTACACCAAAAACACAGAAGTAATGAAGGCAGCTGATAAGGGTAATTCAGGGTAATAAAGGACAATAGAGAACCAGACACAGGCTGCAAAGAACTATGGAAGGACACTATACTATAAGTGACTTGTCACTAAAATGACAGTTAAGATTTCATGTAGGTAACTTGGGAAACATCTAGTAACACAGGGAAAAACACAAATCCTATCCTAAAAAATAAAATTATTACATATAAGCTGATCTTTACCACTCAAGAGCAGGATCTTGGTGTTATGACAGAAATGTTGTGATGCCAGAAGTCTACATGGCTTCAAGGACACCAAATTTAGGAAAGAGAAATAGAGAGGTCTCCAGCTCAAAGGGTTCATAAACTACAAATGACTGGAGACTGGAAGTATATTGGAAGAAATTGTACTTACTTACCAATTTTTTTATAGTTTTTTTCTGAACATGTGTTTGTGACATAGCTGGAGATAGGATGTAGGGCAAAATGAACTGGTCCTACCCAGTACAATTATTCTTGTGCACTTTTTCTACCTTCCCCTCAGTAGGAACATTAATAAAATCTCCTTTTTCTCCCTCCTCACAATAATTTTCACTGTTTCTGTATGACCTTAACTTTGAAGTCCTTCAGCACCTTCTGCCCTTTCAGTCAGATCTGGTTAAGGGGTTTAGCAGTTTAGTCAATAGATTAACAGTGTTTGAACAATAACAATGTTCATTTCTTTAGAAGAAATTAAAAACAGCATTTTAACCTAGCAATGCAGACCCATAGAAAGCAATACTGTCCAGATGAAACGTATTTGAATATGATTTTCAGCCAAGCCTCAGACCAGCCTTCACTTTAAGCACACATGCAGTACAATCTAGGAGCAAATATAAGTATTGGACATGATCTAACTATCAGCTAATGCCTACAGATCATAAAAGATTAAATAAAACTCTTCTCTTGACGAGCATCTTTTCCTTGAAATAATCTCATGGTATGGGCAGATAAGACATTTCCAATCTGGAAAGAAGGAGTTCCAGATGCAGAAATTTGCCAACATGAAATCACACTTGTAGAAAGAAATTGAGGCAGAGAGAAATCTGATGAATGTCATGTTTACTAAACATAAAGCAACCACAAAGCAAATGCAACACACACACACACGCACAATCATGCCAAATACATGCACGCAACAGTAATAGAACAGTTAGCCACATGCAAAATCTTCAGAATTTATTTACTCTAAAGCACCAGAAGCACCGTTCTGTCAGCAGTAGCACTAATGGACAGGGCTCAGGCAGTTTTACTTTTACATCACCTCATCCTTCTCTGAAAACACAGGAAGAATCACGACAAAAACACAAAACTGGCATTTTCCGTTATTGCCACTGTTCACAACCTTCCTAAAAACAATGACAAGGTGGTCTGAAATTGCACTAGACTCTTCTGTCTCAGTTCTGCATTAACAGCTAGGGTATAAGATGGAGAGGCATCTTTTTTTCCTGTTTGTATAGCCCTTAAACACAACTCCTCCTGACCATACAGCTGTAGCTTCTAATACTACCACAGTGCAAACAATAAAGGAGCTACAAGTAATGGGTGACCTCCTTTTCCAGATCCTTCAAAGCTGGGTGAAAGGGACAGACACCGCAGGTGCTGTATAGCAAGACCCTCTCCATATTCTAGCAGGAAAGAAGTGAAGAAGTGTCTAGTAGGTCCCACCAAGGACTGAGCACGGAGCAGGAAATTCTCAGCAGCCAGAGGCTTTGACGAGCAGGAATCCCTCTCTTATTCCTTAATACCGCCTGCCACGTCTGGCAGATAAACCAGCCACTCCAGACTGGTAGCAGAGAGAAGATGTAGGCAATAGCCTCAGCTGCTCTTAAAGTCTCAGCCCTGTTAACATTTCTGCCCTTATTCTGCTTGCTGCTTTCCCTAGCCTAACAATCAGTGAAGTAAAAACAAGTTCAGCTACTCCACTCCAAAAGTAGATGAAGAGATGAAAAACAGCAGGCATCAATCTACACCCTTTAATCACAAGCAGACATGAATCCCTGTAGACCCATCTTCTTTATCCTTGTGTAAGCCTGCAGTTCACATGTTTATAGCTGTACTCCCATTAGCACTCTGTGTTTACAAGTTCATGCCTTCCTGCTTCTGGGACAAAAGGTGTCCAAGAAGCAATCTTAGATCCATTGCGTCCCCCGATGCAAACAGTGAGGTAAGCAGTTCATTCTGGAATAAAACCCACACATGCTAGCCTGTGCCTTTTCTGCTGTTTTTAGTTCTCCCACCACCTCCCTCTTCTTCCTGAGGCATACGCTATTCACTGTATAGCTGGAGATGACCCACCTTTCTACCCATGTGCTGCTATACTGGCAGTTCATTTGATACCAAAATCGAAAAAATTGCTACTGTCTCAGCTGCAAGGCTGCTCTGGATCTAATACTTAGCACAGTTAAAGAGACAGAGCCTCAGTTTCTTAGAGATATGCTACTATACATTAAAGGAATGTTTTTCTTTCAGTGTGGGGAAATGCACCATGTCACCTGACAATCTCTTACATCTCTGCCACTGGGAATTACAAAAGAACAGCACAGGGAAGGGACCTTTTCAATGCTATGTGACATGGATTAAAGTTTTTTTTCCAATTAGCCTGCCATCTCAGGTGAAGCCCTAAAGGAGTGGAAAACAGTGTAGAGCAGCAAGCAGTTCTCCAACTTACTTTCCCAGCATGCAGTATTCCCTGCCTCAGTTTTCAGCCTCACCCTCTCCTTCCCTTTCTTTCTTCCACCATGCAAATACAAAATTTGCATTTATAGCAGCAGGGCTACCACTCTTCTTCTGCACAGTGAAACAGAGGCATGCAGGCACTGCTTTTCCAAAGCTGTCCCACTTACAGGAGTTCAGGCAGCTCCGCTACTCTCTTGGTGCATAGCCTGATCTAGAACAGACTTGAGTTACCACCACTACAATCAGTCCTGTCAGCTCCAGCTCTCACAAGTTGTCTATTGCTATGGTTCAGCCTACTTGCATTGGCATCTGGTAAGGAATGGCCCATATGAAACCAACACTATTTCTCTCTTCCCTCTCAGAAAAAAAATGGAGAATTACCACAGCAGAGCGCCTCAGTGCTGCTGGATCTTCCTGCTTCCTCATGGCTTGGACAGATCCAGCACGTCAGGGAAACTGAAATTAAGTGGTGGCCAAGCAAAACCTTCTCCCTTCATTCAGCATGGCTTCAAGAGGAGCTACTGATTGCACACAGGGGACAGAGTCTAATGCTACAGAAAAATGTCAGCCTTCACAGTTGCAGGGTTTCAGTCATTTCCCTTCCAAAAAATCACCAGGTTGGAGATAGGCAGGTGACCAGATGAACTGAATATAGTATATTCTGTTTCTGGTTCTTTGAACATACAGCAACATCTTCTATTAGATGTGAGATAGCAAGATCTCATTTAAGGATATTTCCACCTGTAAGATAGAAAATCTATGACGACTAACAAATTCTGCTTGATTTCTGACCTCTCACCCCTGATCTTCAAAGAAGGCCTAGAAAGCATTTGCAAATACTGAACCTGGGAACAGAAGTTCATAAGCATACTAGAGATTATAAGTTATGGACTCATTAATTTTAATGGCATATTTATAATTCCTCACTACTCCCACAAAAAACTTACTCCAGGTGATAATTACCACCCCCCCCCCCCCCCCATTTGTTTACAACAAACACACACATCACATCTTCCTTTGCTAACACTTCCACTCTACTCAGCAGGTCACCTTTTACCTCAGATGTCCAACTCATTAATATAATTGAAGTTAAACTCAGAGAAACTGTTCTCAAGCTGCATTTACTTTAGTAAGATCCTACTTCTCTTTCAGAAAGGGAGAGGAATCCCCCTTCCTAATAGCTGTTTTCTTTTTCTGACAATATCAAATTGGCTTAAAATAAAGATTACCTCCCCCAGTAAAGCTAAACCACATGGCTTAGACCACTAAGACCAAAGAAAAGAGAAAAACCAGCTAACCAAAGATTAATCCTTTTTACTTCAAGTGACAACTCTCTGTAGCTTTGAAGCGGAAGACAGCAATTACTGCTTTGCAGATAACACCCCTAAAGCCAAAGGCACTACCAGAATTTTGTTATTTAATTGCCATATTAGACTCTTCATAACATGTACCACAGTAGGCCTGATGACTCGGACCCATTAGCTCTTTCAGGAATACTTTCTACAAAATACTTGAGTTACAGATATTGACAGTCCTTAAGAGAAGTATCTTTCATTTCTCGTAATGGTGTTCAGAAGAACTTTTACTTACTGAAAATGCAGAAGGTGGCATCATTGCTAGCATGAGCAGAAGGAACAAGTTCTTCATCCCTGCCTGTGGGAACATAAAGATTATTGATCAGAATTGCTTGCTTCTTTGCTGTTTGTATGGCGGAAAAGCTAAGATACCATACAGTAAAAATGGAGGTGAAACTAAAAATCAAGGTGAAAGAAAAAGAAGTTTTATCACTACACTCCCTGGGTAGATGAAGGCAATTGCAAAGACTGAAATTACCCTGCACAGAAAGCCAGAATGTAATTACTGAGTGCAAATGTTTCCCTGAACTTTCCTCTGGTATTATGAGAACACCATCCCTGGGCACAGTGGAAGATGCATGCTGTGGCATGTCTGCCCTCCCTCTCCTTTACATATGCACATGATAAAATACTTGAAGATTACAATGACTTCAACCAACCCAAGGTACGAAATTCCACTGTTAACATTTCTGTACCCTATATTCATCCTCTGTGGCTTGGTGAAGCTTCATGTCTGTCTTTGTGTGATCTTGCGTGTTTAAAATCCTACAGTTCATCATGGACAGCTATAGCTAGATTCAACCATCAGTAGTAATATCCCTTTTACAGAGCTAGAAAGGAGATCAGGCCACACAGACTGGTATGGCAGCATAAAACAGTTCCTTAAAATCAGGGCATTATGCACATTTTGGACCACAATACTTCATTGGTGCATTGCCTGTTGCTACTTTATCCATCCTCTTTTGAGTTGCAGCAACCAAGCCCACACCAACCACCACTCACCCATGTTTACAGCTGTGACCATGGACACTTCAGCCACTAGAGACTGCCTGTTTCTCATGACCAGCTGATTAAGCCCAGAAAGAAGAGATGGACTAGATATTCCTAGCATAGTTTTATCTAGTCTAAGCTTCTATCTAACTTGGGAAAGGAAAGGGAAGGGAAAAGGAAAGATGGAGAAATCTTCCTTTCACAGTGCATAAAAGCATCACGGAAGAAATGTTTACCTCATCAGTCATTGTAACAACATCCATTTTAATATTAAAACTTCATATATAGTTCCTTTAGCCTGGCCTGTTAAATCCAAATAAAATACAGAATGTGTATCACCATTAACAAAGATAATATTGCTATAAAATCATTGTTGCCCGAGAACATCAAATCAGAAACAAAATATACCCAAAATGAAATCTGCTTGATCTAGCATTTGCATATTTCAGATTACTTTATGATGGGCAATAATTTTTCTCATAGTGCTAGGCCTCACTGAATCACAGCTCATTACAGCTCTCTAAGTTCATATATACCATGGATTTTGACACTCCCAACATTCACAGTGCTGGGGATAAGAAGTTTGTTCTTCAGTGTTTTTCCTTTTCGATATAAAAACTGCTAAGCGCTGAAAATCCAGTTGCACCAAATTCCGTGTGCAAAATAGCAATGAACAGGGAAAACATAACTGGCAAAACTAGCACTGATAAGCTTCTCTTCCTGTACACTGAGTGCCAATCATATGATTCATAAGAAAATTAAGCTATAGGAGCTTTTTATATGAATAGACTTTAATTAATTTCGGATTAGTCTTTCTTAAGAAACTGTGGGAAGACTATGTACCCTCTATCACCCACCCATGCTGCTACTACTCTTCCCATTCAAGTCAAGGAAGAAACAACCTGGAGATGCCCTCCACAAGAGGTCAAGTACACTCTCTATGCTGTAGAGGCCAAGAGCCAAAACACAGGCTAGATCTGTGTCAGAACCCTATCCAACTGCCAAATAGTTTCAGAGGGGAAAGACAGCCAGGAGAGACCCTTTTGCTACAAGTTCCATGCATGCAAACAGCAAAGCTTTCCTGAAGCAGCTTATAACGTACTCACACCACTAGCAAAGGGCACTGTGAGAATAGCATTTTCCTTGAATGGTGTTGGTGTCAAACAGAGGTAAATCTTTGAGACTGATCAGCTCCTCTTCCTACTGCCCGGGGGGGGGAAGGGGAATCTCTTCCCCAGCTTCCTCCCTCACATCTTCCATTCCAGGCACCTCTCAGGTTCACAGAGATGGCTGTGGAAATCACATCCCTTGCTCCAGCAGTGTTGCTCTGCTGCTAATGGACTGCCCACTCAGCTCCTTCTGGCATCTGAGCCAAGAGGCAGACAGGGAGCTGGGCCCAAGCCACGTGAGGTTCCTGGAGAAGAGGCTAGAGAAGCAGCTCACCAGGGCTAGCAGTTCTCCCACTCTCCAAGTAGTTAGTATCTTGGAGGTTTTTAGCCACATAGATCAAAAAGATTCTCTGAGGAGACAACTAGAGACAGCACCCAATGTTTGGGACAATCCCCTGCATCAAAGCAGCAAGAGGTTACAGCTCTGTTGCTTGCTTGCATTTTTGTGCCATTGCACTTGCATGAGAATTGCTGCCATATGTCCCAAATTTAGCATTAAAAAGTTTAGACCATTCAGCCCTATTAAACTAGTCAACAGATTCCAGGAAGGATGGTCAGAAGGAAGAACAGGGCCTTCTGTATCCTATTAAATCCCCCACTGCAAAACAAATCTAGTGTCTTATTCTCCGAGCTTCAACAAGCTTGTTATTTTAAAAGCTTCCTTGGATGTAGTATTCAGCACTGGTCCCTTTTGCCTTATTTTGAACCACAGACAACACAGATGGGACTGGGGAATCTGCCTGAAACCTTTGAAAAAAGGTCAAGTTCTGTTTCTGGATTTAATGGCTCCTTCACTCCTTCTAGGACCTGGGATACTGCAGCATATGTTTATTCTGCTTGTTTGCCATTCTTCTCACTGAAGGCTGGGTATGCGGGGGAAGGAATGAAAAGGACAGTGTTTTGCAGTGCTTTCACTTACAACAACAGCAGCTGCTGCTCCCTGTGCCTCCTGCCCTTCTTCAATTCTCTTCAACCCTCCCCAGCTCCCTTTTCCCACTGTGTGCTAGAACAGCATCTCCACCCCCCTCCACCCAGAAACGGCAGCAGGGCCTGAGGGGAAACAGTGACTTTATGCTCAAGATATGGAACAGCTGCTGGAAAGCTCACATGGAGGAATTCTTGCCATAGTGCTAAAATACGAAGTTATCTCAGCAAGAGGTATTACGAGAATCAGTTCACAAAAAGTGAGGAACAACCAGAATCTTCAACCAGAACTAAAGGTGTGCCCAGCTGAAACCTCCATTCCATACACCAGAAGAGATTCAAAGTGTCTAGCCAACCACATCGGGCATTAACTGCTCAGGTTAGATGAATAAAAGAGTTGAAGTGGTGACTTGTTCCAGCCATCTGTAAGCTTGGTCAAAAAAAGTCAGTCCAGACCTGAACTAGGAAGCTGTTTTCTCTAAGAGACATTGACCCAAACTCCTCCGAACACTAGAGAAATTCAAACCTGAATCTGACTTTAGCCACTCAGGACCCTTACTTCCATTCCAGAACAGTATGGATCAAATCATATTTTGTGGAAATTTCAGCAACTTCTGAAAGGATGTTCTGGTGCCCTTTCTGAACTGCCTCCACAGCACCTACTTCTCCGTGGCACTGTGGACAGGAGGGTCAGAGGGCCACAAAGGAGACGGCTGGAATTTCATAATTCTGGACAGAACACAACAACTCCAGTACAATTGGAAATTGGGATAAGCACCCTTATTTCAGGGCTTAACACTGAACCCACTCAAGAAAGAAGGTTTTGCTTTAACAAATAGAAGGTCTAGAAAAGACAGATGGGCAGTCTTGGAGATTTCTCTATAGTGGACCCAGCAGTGAATTGCTGTAAAAATATTTTATTTAGTTACAAACTCTTATCCAGGCCCAGGCAGGCTTAGCAAGATCAGTCAAATCTTCATTAAGACCAGGAGTACATTTCAGAATCAAGGATAGGTTTAATGACTCCTATATTTACTTTATACGTGCAAATCTTGCCTTCCAATGCACAAACAAGGTTCAAGATTGCTTACTTAAACTTGGCCTCTTTTCCAAATAACCTCTCAACATCCATGTTCCTAGGGAAACAAGACCTACATTGCCTGTATATATATGTAAAAATAACTTTGAATCAGCTGGCTAGTTTCAGGGTTTCGAAAGCATAAAGTTAACTTTAGTTTGAGGGAAAAAGATACTGGGCCAGGATTAAGAGATGTATTAGAATTTTAACCCATTTAGGTGATGACATTTTCTTTTCAACAGGAAGGAATCCAAACTTGAAAGAGATGTTATGAATAACTCAGCCTTGGCTAAACAAGAACTTAAGCTGTTTAGACAGTACAGAATCAGATCACATAGGGAGAATAAAACAGGTTTCATGAGTTCCATTGCTCACAGATTTATCAGTCTGGGGTTTTCTCTATTCTTTTTTAAAATAATTGAACAGCCAGTGCTACATGAGTCTTCTCTGTTTAGCACATAGGACAGACCAGTTGTCTTTTGCCTGTGAACCACATTTCTAAGTCGTCCTCTGGCCAAAGACACATACCATATGTGTGGGTCAGGGACTGTGCTGGGAGTGGTTCATAGGCAGATGATAAAAAGACCCCTTCAGGGTTCCCACTTTTCTATTGCCAGACAAGATTTAGCTGGGCATGCAGGTAAACGGCAAAGCCACCCAGCAATGATAGATTCAGCAGGTCCTTACAGTTCATTTAGTCTCCCAGCTGGGGATTTGAAACCCAGTGTGGATCTATTATTCCCATCTGAGGTAGTCCTGACAAGAAGCTGCCTCTGCATGGCTTGTGAGCCACAGGCTGGCCACCCCGGCAATAAATAGTTGCCTGTTGCAATATAGATAGAAACTGATTACTGTAAAGTTTAGCACTTACAGCACTAAAGCAGAAGTTGCCATTGTGATCCCGCTACTTGCACCTTTTCAGAATTTCCTTCCCTTCCCTCCACTCCCAACTCCATCCCCTGTTAACATACCATATCTCCCTCAGTCATTATATTTTTAGAAGTTTGGTTGAAGGAGGTGGGAAGTCAGAAAGCATGATGATATGTTGCCCAATTATCCACTGGCATAAACTTATTTAGCCATTCACTCAGAGCAGTCTTTTAGCTTTTAGACTCATTACATTTTCTAAAGACATGA